TTCTTTTTTTTCTTTTTCTTTTCTTTTTTTATGTCACGTTTTTAAATCTATTTTCGTCTATGAATCAGGGAATCTTAGTTTCAATTTCTGTAGTAATAAAGCAAATAACCCTATTCCTGTCCCTTTGAAAATCATTCAATCTCATTTCCAGGTATTATTTTTTATCAACAGAATCATGTCGCAGTCCCTATGAGCTTCACCTGTCCATAGATACTTAAAACTACATTGCAACATCAATTCTGATAAACTGATTTGATAAAAAAAAAATGTATTTCTAGTAACGTTTGCGGTATGACTATGAGACAAATAAAAACAGCGCATTTCTTGAGCACAAAGGTCAAAAGAGGGTAATTTTAATTTTGATCAAAGGTTTTTATTTCTTTGCGTCGATAGTTTAAATTGAAGTAAACAAGTGCGTTTTTGAAGTAAAATTTGGTGAAACTTAAATGTTGACCATGTTGCAAACTAATATGAAGCTTTTTGTTCCTCTGAAGTATCATGACTAACACTTAACTTTTGACAAAGTATAAATTATTTATCTATTTTTTATGATTTTGAGAAATCAAGTTTTCTTAAAATTTTGGATTTATTAAATAATTCAAGAAATATTCCTGAACGTCAAAGGTTACTTTATCTTCTGACGGGGCTTGAAGGCCTTGAAGGCTTGAAGGACTTGAAGGTCTGAAAAATTAGCAATAGTCGGGAAATTTTATGCTGAAGACTGATAAAATAACCAGCGGTTTCCGCACTATCAAATTAAGTTTCAGTGAATAGCGGAATAATTTTCAAAAAGGAATCGCAATTTCAGTCAAGTGAATGATTGATACTTGATAAATTAGACGATTTCTGTCATTTACAGTAAAAACAATGCCGAAAATTTATCATTGCCAGTTCTGTACAAGCAAATTTTATAAATGAAAAAGTCAGAAAATTTCGATTATTTTAGTCAGGGAAACCAAGACTGGAAATTTTTTCCTCCAAGTCTGTAGACACCCTGTTTTGAATATTCACTGCTCCTCAATCTGCAAAAAGCTGGGTGCTTATCATGTTATCTAAGAGGAACAAAGAGCGTCAAGTCTTGGATTTTGATCTTAACTTTTGAACAACGGACTCCAAAGGCATTTTTTCAGCTTCATTTTTAACCTATCTGCGCCGAGAAATATACCATGATCAGTTCTATGACTCATGATCTCAATTTTGCACATATTTATGACCAATTTTAAAAGAGAACGAAAAAGAGCAAAAAACTTGAAAATGTAACGTCTCCTGAATGTAATATGATTCTAATATTGCAAAATTTTCTTGCATAAATTTACTTCCGCCAGGAAATTGTCAAGAAATTTTAACTGGAAATGTCTTCGATTTTTCCTCTAATCACATGCTGGATGTAACAAAATTTTGGTATAGAAAAGCATAATCTAATTCCTGTTAAAAACTTAATGCCATGAGCCAATTTTGCAATCTTGGAATAGAGTTACATTCTTTTGTTAGGAAAACTGATCTATGCCAAATGCATTTGTATGAATTTAACTTTTCAATTTGTGTTATTCACAGAATATGTGTGATTTCTGAAATTACTTGTAAAATTTTTCCTAGTGTCTCAATTTGTCTTTATCTCATTATGATAATAATGTCGCCACAGGAGTTAAAATATGTTTCTTCAGAATGTTTGCAATCTCGTTATGTTATACAGTCCAATTCAGTACTTAGTGGCATTTTAGTAATTAATTTGGCTATGTGTGTGTCTTTTACACTTATCAATAAGTTTTGATACTATGATGTGGGTTGTCTAAATGAAAAAAGCTCGTAATGAGAACTAAGCACCAGTAAAAAAGTGTCATGAATTTACTCCAAAACGTAATTTCAATGTGAGCTCTACAATCGAGTGTAATTCTAATGAAAAAAAGGGTCAGTAACATGGGTCTCAGAATCACGTTTCGCTGTTAAAGTAGAGTGACTATCTGGAAGTAAAAACATCAATTTGGACATTCGATTGCTGTGTCTCTTTCAACTTTCCCTCCTCTTGGCAGTATTAAAATTTTTTTGATTCACAATTAAAATTATAACGGAAACAAAAGAGCTCAGCTTCTTATATTTTTTGAAAAACATACTTCGAAAAGGCTTTGGCCATACATTTCAAGGTTTGCCAATGATATTGTTTCACTAATCATTGCAGTTAATCTTTCTTCCTCTTCTTCATATTATTACAAAATTACCTTGAAATTTTTTCTCGAGCCACTCTGACAATGAGACCTTTTTAATTAAATTAAATTAGGGAGGGAATAAAATGTACACTTTAAAGAATCCCCCCTCCCCCCCCAGTCAAAATTACGTAAAGCAATGTAAACTTCAGATCAATTTGTAGTTTTATTCTCAAGGACTATATTAATTTGTTGCTAAAAAATTGGGCCCAGTTTTGAAACAGGGAATTCATATTATTTCTAAGCCCCTGAAAAGGAGAATTTTTTTTCTGTCCGTGTGTTATGTAAATAACTCTGTAATTACAAAAATGTGAGGCACAGCTGTGCTACTTTGCATCAGGAAAATTCAAGCTTTAATTTGGAAGAAATTTCTTTTGATCTAATTAATCGATGTATTTTACCGTTAAATGGTCCTCAAGGTGCAATTTGTTTTTGATCATATTTCTCTATCCAGTCAGTGTCTGTTGGTGTATCATTTGTCTTTTTATTTATTGTTTTCATCTATCAATGTCAATTTTCAGTGCTCTATCATCGTCGAATCTTTGATGCATTACTCTTAAGTTTGTGAAAAATTGAAACTATAAATACTGTAATATCTATTTTTATCAAATAAAATCTTTCTATCTCTGTTAAGTAAAACTTTGTCTTGGTTTTTGTCATGCATCGTCTCATCTATATTACGATAAGATGGATTTATTATCATTTATCAGAATTACCTCAGTATGTTTTACACAAACTAATTGCGGTGGATGCACGGGTCGTAAGACAGTATGTTGGAGTTTTTCAGCCAACTTGTATTGAGGTATCAGCTTCATGTTGAATTTTTAAAGCACATTGGCAAACAAATTCCAACATACTGTCAGTATGTTTCATCTTTCACCGAAGTACCAGTCCATTGTTTTCAGTTGTCAGAATAATTTTAAAATCGAAAGAAATTTTGTAATAATTTTTCATTAAAGGTATTAAATGGACCGAGTTTGTCAGATAGGAACCAACCCACATTAAGTTGAAACGGAGAAAAAGATGTTTGAAGTTTTATTTCTGTTTAAGGCTTATTTTAGGAAATGAACTTAAGCCCCTCTTTGCACAAATTAATTTCTGTTTTTTGACTTTCAGTTTTCGGCAGGAGAAAACATTTGGCTAGTGGAACTCTAAAACATTTTTAACTAAATTTTTTCGAAAAAGTGGGTTGGTACCTTTCTGATAGACTTGATCCAAATGTGCATTCCTACCCTTGAAGAAAAATTAAAGGCTTTTTATGGACATTGATATTAGGTTCAGTCAAGTAAGAGAGAGGAAAAATATGAAAAAATCGTTGATAATATCAATGGCTATGGTAGAAAAATATGCATACCTTAGATTGCAATGTTATAAGTCTTTATTCGTGTGTTTTTTTATGGGAGAAATCTAGCCAACAACTTCCACTGAAATTTTTTCTGAATATTTTTCACTCATTCCAAAAAAAAAAAATAAATCTCTTAAAATTTAAAAGAAAAATTTTAATCCTGGAAGATTACACTTCCTGGAAGAAATTAAAATATAATCTGAGATTTTTTGAACATTGCAATTGATGTTCGCATTTTTGGTATTCGGCCATGGAAATACTAATTTTCATGGTTGGATCCGTATGATTTTAAAATATAGTCAGAGCTTCAATGCAGACCAAGTCCAGGCCTCTTCAAGTGAGGAAACATGGTTGCAAGGCATCTGCCTGTTCAAACCTGAGATCTATCCTTCTTTTTTGCGTCAGTTCTTGCCGTTCTTCGTATTTTTAAAAAATTAAGACACATGATTATGATGGGTTTCACATTTTGGTTTCCAACCAGATGCTGTGTGCCTTTGCTTTTCCTACTGAAGATTTTTACGAAGAACTGATGGCTGGGCTCTTGTCCATTTTATAAAAAATAAAGAGGGAAGTTTTTCTTATAAACCCTTCACATCATAGGTATATTCCTCCTCAAATTGTGAGTATTTATGGATCGCATCTAGCAAAAAGGAACTAGCGCTATTGCAGTGTTTTCAAATTCTTGCAACTTCTTCTTTCCCTTTAAAATTATTCAATATACGTACAGTATTAAAATTTACAAACTTCTTTTCCCTTAAAATTAACAAATTTTTGGTGGGAAACCAAAACTATTTGCTACTCTGAGAAATTTTTTAAATTTTTTGAAGAAGCGACATTTTTATAACTCTGTAATTGCGCTGGTTCCTTTTTGCAAAATGCAATCTGTAAGCACAGCTGATTTAGAGCAATAGATTCCAGGTAAATGGCCGTGCGTTTCAAATTAGTTTGCTTCCCTGAGCATACACCAAAAGAGAAAACAAGTACCTAATCTGAAACGGGCTCTATCTTTTGTGAAGTAATCAATTAGGCGATTGGTCCTTTCACATAAATCCGGAAAATTCCGCAGAATTTTGGACTGATTAGTTCTCCTGATAAAATGATTAATTACAAATAAATAATATGAAAAATAAATTAAGAGTTAATAAATATTAAGCAGGCGTGAAGCAGGGGCTCTATCTTTTGTAAAGTAATCAATTAGGTGATTGGTCCTTGCAGATAAAACCAGTAAATTCTGCAGAATTTTGTACAGGTAAATTCTATTGGGAAAAATAATAACTAAAAATAAATAATAAAAAAAAAATAAATGAAGAAGTAATACAAATTAAAAATAAATTGTTTATTTGGCAACAAGGTAACAATGGTAATTGTAAGTTCCTAAAAGCGCCACTGGCGCGCTGCAATCGATGCCGTCGATGACGGTTTCTCCAGTTTCTCGCTTCTTTCTCTTTTCTCTTCGCTTCAGTTCTCAGCTGATCTTGTTGCAGCGGCCCCGTGATTGTCTGGTTGGTCCGTGATCGACGGTGTGCGTGTTGTGTTAGTTAATTTTTTGTTTCTTAGGCGTGAGAAAATTTCCCCACCGTCTCTGGAAATTCCAATGTGTGTGGTTGTTGTGGTAAGTTCACTTTTCCTCTCGCCAAGACCTCTGAAAAACCAATCGAGGTTGGAGACATCGTCCAATGCCTATTGATGCACAGGGTGCATCATTTGTCTGTCCTGCCTATTTTCCTTTCTTCTCGCATTTTTTCTTCGGAAGTTTACATTTGCGTCGCCTATTTCAAAAATTCCCAGTTCCTTTACCCCAAAATTTTCCGTCTCCGCTCAACAGTGTGTCTAAATCAGGCTCGCCACGAAACTTTTACCTGCGGCCTTAATTTCTGACCTAATTCTCTTGCCTTAACCCTGGACAGCTGTTCACTGGCCTATATTCCTACTTTCCAAGATTTAATTGCCTCAACGGCTAAACAGTGCATTTGTCTGTGCATTTGGCTCAATTAAGTACACATGTAGACACTAAAAGCCATGAAAGATTAGGACCGAGCCAGCTTTTGAACTCAGGTGAAGTGATGTAAACCATTATTTTCTTCGTCTCATTTTGTTGATAGGGCAGGTACATATCTCATTATCACCTTAATTAAGTACCCGGTTTAAATCACTCATCCTATTAAGTGTTTACTCAATTTTGAGTAGCTTGTCGGCATCTTTATTACCCTATTGAGTGCGCAATAGCATTGAACTTGGTTATAACTTTATTTCAAGTGACTTTCCAGGATGACAAGACATAAATAAGTAGCTCTGTGCAATGGCTTTTGAGTTTTTATTTCAAAGGCGTTTAATCATACATATTCCAAATTTATCTTTCGACTCAGAGGAAGTCAAGTAGACAGAATATAAACTTGTGTTGCTGAGAATATTGGATCACAGAATGTTAAACCATTGTGTCCTCCAGGAGACATTCATCTTGTTTCATTTCATTGGCTCCTAGTTTCTCTAAGTGATTCTTTCTCAGTCCTGCAATTATGCTTTCACATCATGAATATTTATCTTAATCATGAACGAATCTTACCTTGGTTGCCTCAAAAACAATATGCCCTCATCTTTTCCCATATTGTTTTTAAATTTTAATTAATTAAAATTTAATTATTTTTTTAATTGAATTTTAAATATGTCATCCTATCTCCCTTATGTACTCTCCATAAAGAAGTGTAGAATTTGAAGACAACTGATCTATTGTGAAGTTTTATAATGTACGATTTACCTATCACACACATTTCCATGCTTGGTTAATGCATCAAGTTTTTTATGATCATTTGCAGGTGGCTATTGGCGCGGGAAACCTGCATTTTGAAAAAAATACAAAGGAATGTTCAAGGTCTTCAGAGGAATCTTGCCATAAACAGGTAATTTGAATTCACCATGCTTTTTATTTAACCTTAATCAGTGATGATGATGTATAGGGTGATCCAAAAACTCCATACCACCCCTACAGCCCTCCGGATTCTTGCGCCTTTTTAAGGTAATCTCCTTTCAGTTTTTGGGGTAACAAAAGTTGTTTCCTATGACCTACGAACACTCAGGAAATTTCAAGTCTCCATCTCAATTTTTCCAAAAGTTACAGGAGTGTTGCCAGTGCTGGTGTTGCAGGTCTTTTGGAGCACCCTGTATCTAAATGTATCAACAACAATCAAGGAAAGTGCCCATACATTCAATGTAAGATAGGAGACTCAAAATTTGATTGACTTTGACTAACAAGAATGATCAACTCCTGAGTGAATTTATATTTGAAAAAGTAACATCATTTATCTCCCAAAATTCAATTAAGTATTCCCAAATCCTTAGCAGAATTAAAGACCCAAATCCTTGGCAAAATTAAAATAAGAAGTATACCTAAAACATTTTTCCTTTTTGTGAGCTGATTTTCAAAGCTCATGTCATCAAGACATTGAAAATCAGTATATGATGTTGTATAGATAGGCCTAAGTATGTCTTGTCTGATCTTGCTGCCTTAGCAAGAGAGAGTTTCAGCATTTGACCTGCTGAAGTCTTTAGATCTCTCTCCCCCCCCCTCTCCTCTCAGAGTTGAGCACCTTGAATTAAATCATTCTGTCAAAATATACCTTCAAAATTTCATCAAATGTTAAAAGTATCAAATATATTTTCAGTGAGGTACAAGCATTCTGTGTCAGAAGAGGTGGGAATTTTAGAATGTAGCTGATGGGAACGTTCATCAGTAAGGCATCAAGTCACATCAGCTGTTGTTAAATAAATGGGCAATTTAAGTTTTCGCAAGAGAACATTTGTGCGGATTCCTTTGAAAAATTTAAGAAATTTGACTCTTAGGTATGTACCATGCTAAAAATTTACTGAAATTTCCACAAATATATGCACAACCGTTTTCATGTTTAAAATCAAATTTTCCAATTAAATTTGGCGATAGCTGATGTTGCTAGGTTCCTTTCTGCTTAGTGCGGTTCAATCAGGAGTTTTCCTAACTTTTAAGAGCCTTTCCACATTTTTCGATGGTGCATTGATCGAGCATTTTCTGCCCCCACACTGGAAAAAAAAACACATTGGATCTAGAGTCCAGACTCTTAAAAACATCGACAAGGAAAAATACTCTTGATTCAACCAGATTTAAGCTTAAATCAAGAACCAAGCCTCTTAATTTGAGCGGATCTCCTTTTGATTTAAGCTTAAATCTGGTTGAATCAAGAGTCCTTTTTCTTGTCAATGTTTTCAAGAGCCTGGACTCTAGATTCAATGTGTTTTTTAACCAGTGTACACCCTATGCCCCTCTTGTCTATCGCTTTGTCTATATCGGACGGTATATCTATACAGCCCGTAACTTTTTATTCAGTGTAGGAAGATCTACAAGCACTTTCAGACGAAGCAATAAAAAATTTGCATGAAAATTCTCCATAGGATCGCTCCATACTCCCTATGTCCCTCTTGTCTACAGCTTTGTCTATCAATTTCAATAATCAGTCCGCTGGAACGGACGTTATGTCTATACAGCCCGTAACTTTTTATCCAGCGAACGAAGATCTAAAACTGCACGGATAAGGGTGCCGGGACCCCACCGACGAATACCCAGAAGGCTCGTTACGACGTGAGTGTCAAGTGACCCATTGAGTGCATGAGTGCCCCGGGCGTGAAGTGCGCTAGCATCCTGGGGGGCTCTGGAGCTGCGAGCCCATGCTGGGACCCTTCAATCGCGCGACTACTTGATAAGCCAATCTAGAGATAAACGGCCCCCACAGTGACGCCATGCCCGGCTCCGCAACTCGGTGTAATTCAATTAGGTACAGAGGTGGGAACTCGAAATAGCACGGCTCCCCCGATTGAACCCCCGAAGTACCCCCTTTGCGGATGTGCACCGAGAACGTGTTGAGAAGCTCGAGACGTTGTAGGGTGAATGGAGATATTGCATTGTGAGGAATTTGCGATTTGACTACTAATTTTTACGTAAAATTTTGCGAGAAACACGATGGTGTCACTGGTTTTCTCTGTAAGTAACTCCCAAGCTTAAAAAAACCTCTCAAGTTGAGGTCAAAATGGGGGGGATATCCCCCGCTATCCGGAGAGTCCACGTCTACATCAAGACAAACTCTCCATGCAAAGATAGGGAGCAAATACATTAGCAGTGATGCCGTGTTTTCAGTTTTAGAGTCCCCAAATAAAGTGGCAGCCCTGACAATGTATATGCTCCCTATCTTTGCATGGAGAGTTTGTCTTGATGTAGAGGTGGACTCTCAGGATAGCGTGGGATATCCCCTCCATTTTGGCCTCAACTTGAGAGCTTTTTTTGAGCTTGGGAGTTGATTTCAGAGAAAACCAGTGGCACCATCGTGTTTCTCGCGAACTTTTACCTAAGAATCAACAGTCAAATCGCCAATTCCTCACACATGTAACATCTCCATTCGTTGGTAGAACTGCTCGCTTTGTTGATGAACAGCCAAAAAGACGCCAAAATGTTGGCTGCGTTGGGTAGCCAGGACCTCCGGGAAGTCCTGAAATCCGGGAACACTGCTCTCGCGTGTGTTGGGAATTTGCTATTCATAGGGTTGCTCCATCAGTCAGGGAATACCGGAAAACGTCAGGGAATTCAAAAAGTCAGGAAGAACCTGGAAATGTCAGGGAAAATGATGAAAGTGGGATATCCCCTCCATTACGGTCTCAACTTTGAAAGCTTTTTTTTAAACGTTGGAGTTCGCTTTAGAAAAAGTCAGTGGCACCATCGTGTCTCTCGCGAAATTTTCCATAGAAATCAGTATTTAAATCGCAAATACCTGATACATGCAAGAGCTCCATAGCCGGTATTATACAGAGATTGAAAGATATCAGGGGATTTCTGCTCTTTCCATGTCTTATTTTCAAAATCGATTCGGTGGCCCGCATCGTGACGCACCTTTGGGAATAACGCAAAGAGTGAAAAACCTTAATTTTTTCCTGATAGGTATCCGAAGAAAATCGTCAATTTTGCTTTGAGAATGTGACGGACGAAGAGAGGAAATCGGGGTAAATTAGGAAAATATCCGGGAATGAGAAAAAAATGAAACAATCTTAGTAGCGGACTTCATCCTAGTGTTACTGCTCACAAAGAATAGTCGGGTACACGCCAAATAAGTATACGCACCTCCAGACTGCGACAGAAGATCGTCTAACGTCACTTTTACATGTAAAGCAAATGTGAGAATCAAGATAGCAGATCTTTTGTCGCAGTCTAGAAGTGCGTAGACTTATTTGGCACGAGCCTCAGGTATTTGTGACAGAGTATTCTGATAGTGAAAGTAAGAAAATCTCCGATGTTTACATTAGGTACGCAATTTACGTCAAGTATTCGTAAACAAGTTTTGACGAAGAGACTTTTTGAAATAACTCTGGAAGTACGTTCCATATACATATCGCAAATCTTTTCTTCATTCGATTTGCGATATACATTCGGGACGCACAACCAGTCAAGTTCTTTGAAAGCGGCTCTTGGTCAAAATTTGTTTACTAATACTTGACGTACCACACCGTAATGTAAACGTCGGAGATTTTTAGTGTATTTTTTTCTTTTTCTGTTTTCACGCAACAGAGGCATTTCGTAAGAGCAACAGGAATAGCGACACGGGAAAAAATTAAATCTTACTTTAGCAATTGTAATGTCAAAAAAATGTGCGACGAGTATAAACGCTGATTTTACAAGGAGGAAAATGCCAGGTCAACAACGCTCACAGTTAAATGAACAAATGCAATGTTGAGTTAGCATGTTTTTAAAATGTAAAATCAACATTTGATCCTTGTCGCACATTTTTTTGACAGTGAAATCAGAAATTAAGAAAATTATTTTTATTTATACCATCTGTAATTTGAGGTAACGAAATATCCTGAATAATTAATATGGATAGAGCAGTATTATACCTTTCTAAATCAGCATTCAATTTTTTTCCGTGCAGAGGAGGGAGTACGAAAACAAAGAAAAAGGCCAAATCAGAATCCAGGAATGTTTTTCAGCACTTTACTTTTCACCGCATTTATTCTCGATGGTTACCGAAATACCCCGAACAAGATCCTATCAAAATACTTTCCAAACAAATTTCACCCCTGACCTACTCTCCTCTCGTCTCCTTTCGAGCCTGTCGAAGGAGATAAATAAGGACGTCGCCATTCTCAAATCGGGGACAGAATAACTTCGGAACTTTCGTATTTTCGTTTCGATCACCCCTTGTCAGGTGGAAGTAGCCCTTGTTTCAGACAAGTTTACCTTTCATCTTCAGCAGATATCACAAATGCTATACGCAAGAGCAGATGGAAAGGTTAAACTTATCTGAAACAGGGTCTCTTTTAACGTCTAAAGGTTAAACTTATCTGAAACGCCGTCACTGCCATTTTGCGCAGTTTCTATTTCGGCACAACATGACAACATTGCATTTCGAACGTGATGAAATTTTCATCTAACTTGCTGTGCCAGTTTATCGAAAGTTGTCGAATTGTCGGTGTTTTTGTCGCAATTTTGAAAGTCGATTAGAGTTCAGTCGACGCATTTGACGAATGGGGATTAAGGATAATGAAAGTTATGCTATGCTATCCTATGCATTGCAGGGTTACAAAAATCTGCCAAGTCCTAGAGGCTTAACCCAGATTTTTCTGTCAGAAAACGAAAAAAAGGGTGCCATTGGCCTATTTGATGAAATGCTGATGATAAGCTGAATCCAATTTCGTCCCATCGCGCAATGATGCGTATCGCACGGAATCGAAGTGAAGCAAAATAGTATCAGCTTCTGAAAGGCTGTTTGCTCCTCTCTGATGAAATTTATGACCACTCTGTTGTGCCACGTAAAAACGCCTTATGAGCGTTCGTATGTCGCCAAATTTCCTCTCGGAAAGTATTCATTTTTGAAGAGCGTTATGGATA